AAAATTGATTTCGTTCCTTTTCTAGCTATACAAGCATTCATATATCGTATACCTACACATACATATATACATATATTAATGACGAAAGAAGAATAAAGGATATAAAATGCTGAACAGATATGATTAAAATAAATAACGGCGTTTATTTACTTGCAAAATAGAGCGAACAAAGCGCATAAAGCGACGAAATATAAATTGCAGGTAGTGTATGGCATGAGCGCCTAAATATATGCTAACAATTTTGTTAAACAGCATWTGAAACAATGTAAAAGTTAATAACTGTAAACGTAGCAAATGTTAAATGTAGACTATTACATACGATTATGTGAAACTAGCAAATCAAGTAAAATTTGTATGTAGTGGTAGTAGTGTATTAACCAAAAAGTTGTACTTAACATAAATAAACATAATCCGATTAGAATTAGAGGTAAAAGTATGTATTAAAGTAATGTTTGAAATAAGTGTTATGTAACTCGTAATCAAATATTAGCAAAATAATCATGTATTTTGTGTATTTGCTGCAAATCGCTTTTCTTTCCCTTAATTTAATTTCCTTATATCCAGTATTTTTCAGTAGTAATGCAAAAGTAATTAGCAAATAAATAGTAGACGCTGACATTATTCAAACACTTTAGTAGCTGAACTCTAGTTAGTGCTTATTTAAATCTCATTTGGTAGTCAGAAATTAAGATCTTTTTCGAATTTAACTTCTTCAGTTTTCTTTGTTTATATTTCAATCGTATTTCGTATTTGTAAAGTAGCGTAGATTTTTTATTTATTTTGTTTTCTTGTTTTTTGGTAATTTACAGTAATTTTTTATTTAATTTTCATTCATTCATTTTTGAGAGTAATTCATATTTCACTCACTTGTTTTTCTTTTGTGATATTTGCCATTTACTGGTGGTGTATAAAGTAGTTCAGATATTATAATTAAAATTATGGAGATATCCTTGATTTTATATATACTGTTTTAGCAGTAGAGGTAAGTAAAAGCTCTGCAACTACAAGTTGCATGACATKTATTTTAAAGCTTCCAAAACTTCCGAGTCTCACCCTATGGCATACAGAAATCGGCTGGTCAAAATAAATAGACAGAGAATAACTATTTAAKGTGAACTTTGAGGTATGTGGAATCACTGTCCACAACGATTGCCAAAGCCACCGATAGCCGATGTTGTCGATAAAAWAATTAAATTGGATTAGATCACTATTCGAGCCTGTGTTTTGAGAACAAATCGCATTGCACACATGAAGAACCCCATCTTTTATTGATTTGAAGAATTGACTCAGTATAATATGTTTTTCTTATTATGCCAGTTTTACTTCCACTCACGATGTAATATTAACTACGAATAGAAATGAACTGCGATGCAAAACACAAACTACCCGATTTTCATACTATATTATGTACATATTTCTGGCATTAGTGTCAGTATTTTAACTATCTTTCCATATCATCAGTAACCAAGAGATATTATTATAAGATAAACCTTGTGAAGAATTCCCAGCTTTGCTCTCATAGCATGAGTAAGGGAAATGTGTTCTCATTATTGAAAGCAAAAAGGGTCGACTCAGCTGCAGACTGCGAATGTCTGGTTAAAATGAATTAATCTTCAGGTAAACTCTAGTAAATGTCACATCACATTTTTAGGATGACTAGATATGAGTGGTCATTAATCTGTGTCTTTAAGAATTTTTCATTCAGCCTTTAATTAATTTTGTATAAAGAAATTTATAGATCTAGAAACCTTAATATCTACACAGTACAAGAAACCCATAGATATTTGAATACTCGCTGAGATTTATTTAGAAAAGTTATATCACTAGATATAGATTATTTTAGAAACTACTTGGGCACAATAATTTAAAGGAAAGCTCTAAAATATATTAATATATTCAGTATTGGAAAAATATATAGAAATGAAAGTGGAAAAATTCCTATAAAAAATAAAAAACACGATAGTAAAAATAAAATGTGATGAAAAAACAACAACAGTATACAATTTAGTAAAATTTTCTAAAGACTTCAGACAATATTCTTTGAGGAACTAAAAACATTAATTAAAAGAAAAACATTAGACGACACAGTCATAGCAAATTGCCTAACAAAAAATACAATTTAGACACAGACCGACATACACAATTGTGTGCATATTAACAACAACTTGTAGATAATAAAAAAATACTAGTGGGCTGCTAATAATTTTGAAAACTATTTTATGTCCTTCATTTGAAAACTTGCTTCTTAAATGAAAGCCATAAATGTCAGTGGCAGCAATTAAGAAAACATAGACATATCTATATAAGAATGTATATGTATGTATAGAAATCTGTAGATCTAGGCCCCAGTTGTTTACTTGTCTGCTAATAGTAAACAGAAAAGTTAAAGAAGTCATAGAAAGGCACGTAATTACTGGACAAGGTCAATGTTGGAGTGTCAAAATGCTTGCAAGAGAAATTCTCTACTAATAACCTACAAAACAATTTAATTAAGAAGAGTAGTGAGATACAGATGAATACATTTCGAAGTATATTGCTCGTTGTACATTAGARCGGGTCGATTTACAAGGAGCCATAAAAACGGAAGAATCTTGTATGCGGAAAATGTGCTACGGATCATTTTGAATAACTTTGCCAAAAAAACTATGACTCTAAAA